CCCAAAGCGAAAGAACATCTTAAATGGAAGTAGCTTAATAGTGAATTTACTTACTTGAAATCATTGAAGTTGAGCATTAAATTAAGGAAAATATCAATTTGAGAAACATTAAATGGAGAATTTACTGTTTATGGTACGTTTCATCTGGCTCCTGTATTTTTTGTGTGGTAAAGATGCATCATTTTCGAAGTTTTATCACTGTAATAAAATTTACAATAAGTGACCATTATAATTTTCACCCCAGAAGTTCATATTCCACCATAAAAAGTGATTTTACAGACAGTGATAAGCTGTGCCATTGATTATAGTGTCCTGTTGTAGTCAGCTTTTACTTTTTGTTGCATTGGTAAATCATACACTGTAACACAGTGAATATAATTTGTGAGTCTGGAAATGTTATGTAATCAGTACAGTTTGGTGGTGGAATTTGGATCAGTGTGTTAATCTACTTTCAGAGTTATAGGTGTTGACAAGGAAGGTGGTATTAGATTCATTCATTTATGATATTTGGTATGAGCAGCAAGATTGGTATCCATTTTCACCTATTTTCAATATAAAATGTAATTCTACTGTACGCAGGAGTCTGTTATACTTTTTGTTTACAGTAATTCACACTTTGCGGACCGCGCACCCTTTAAAAGGTTTTTCGCTTTTAAACATGGCGGACCGTTCGCGTGTTAACAGGTTTTTAGAATACGATAAGTTGCAACACACTATACATCGCTCTGGCGCCACCTACATTGCATGCAAGCACCTGCAGATGCATGATAAGACTCTGGAATGTTTAGTTAGCAGTCAGTAACTTGACCTCGCTGTTTACTTAACCGACTATAAAGGAAAATGCTTTGCCTTCTTCAAGCTGTGTGTATCAGCCAGTAGCTAGTGGGGAGAATGGATCAAGGACAAATTCTCATCCGATGACCTAGCTGACCCGCCTTGTGAGACGCGTAGTAATGGATTAATTGTCATTCAGACAGCGACAGTGACGGGGGACAACAAAGAATTGTGGCCACAGACAGTAAAAGCGACAGTAGCTCCGATGATAATGCGGGGAATAACATTGTGCATAGTAACATTGCGGGGACAGCAGAAAATCTAAACCCTGATTCAAAATTGAAATACAAAGCATTTCTGATGAATGTGGCAAAGGCCTGGGCTACAGTTCAGATGGTGGCAGCAGAACCAGGGTCACACAAAGACTTAATACGACCGGGACCATCAACTCCCACCCCATGAAGGCCTCATGTGGACCCCCCAGGGCGACTCTTGAGTGATATTCGGAAAAATACCCTCATGAAAATTGTGAAGAGTGAACATGCCAAGGGAAGAATACTTCTGGGCAATGCCGTGTTGCACAGTTCACAAAAAAAAAGGAGTATGTCTACATTTGCAAGTTCTGTGTAATGCCACTTCACAAAGGGGAAAGTTTCCAGAAATATCACACCCTCAAGCACTTCTAGGAGCATTGGTAAGTGTTCTCCAAAAATTTTAGTTCAAAAAATTAATTAGGAGATTTTATATTCATTTTTAAAGTGAACAGTGCACAAGTTAGGGTAGTATGTTTAAAAATGCTGGTCCCCAGGGTGATTTAAATATTTAAATCACCAGTCCGCGAAGTGTTAACAGACTTCATGCTTTACTTGATTTTAAGATGTACTAAAATTAATGTCCAAATCTAAAGCAATATTATTTGTACAAATTTTGGTGAAGTTGCAAGTTTTATGTTTCAGTCAGCATCGCCAGTATTGTATGTGTTGTTTCAGTTCATTATCGTGAGAAAGTGTTGGATCAATGTGTATCCTGCTTGAACAACAGTACAAGACCTGTACAGGTGGCCATTGTGGCAGCCCTGAGGTGCTATGTTGAACGCTTGACTTTACTTGATGGGTCAACGATGCTGGAAGAAGGAGACAGAGAGGTGCTAGACAGAATACTTAAGAAAGTATATCAGGCTTTAGAATTTTCATTAGGTAAGTAACTGTAAGTCATATTTTGTTCGTTTGTAGTTTTATACTTTCCCTTACCGATAGTTCCATTATATCTTCAGACTAAGTCATTAGAGCTAGTTGATAAAGCATCATGAAGTGACTAGTCCTTTAGTCCGAAGTAACTGATCACCTAGCTCAATGCAGTGTGAGATGTAAGCTTGCATGGCAGTGGCTATGAAGAATATTATATCCTGGGATGTGATGCCATGCAGTTTGGTGTAAAATTTTAGTGAGATTTTGGAGGACTGTACTGACTCTGTCTTATGGGTTGAAGAGTAAGTCTGTATTTCAGCATCTTGTTGCACATCTTTATTAAACGTCTATGTATTCAGTCTGTCAATAATACAACAATCATTAAAACATTCACATAGCTACTGAAACAGACTGTCTGGAATACACATATCACATAGCTTTAAACAAGTGGACAACTTGTTGGGTAGGATTTTACGAAAGATTTTAATTTAAGTAGACTGCAACACACAATTTTATCGCACATCAGAACAGTATAACAGTTTAGACACATCGAAACACCTGAGGATGGCCGTCTGTGGCCGAAACATGTCGTGTTGATGTTGATTGGTGAATGTTTTAACGATTGTTGCATTATTGACAGACTGAATACACAGACATTTAATTGAAGAGTGAGCCCAACAAGCAACTGCATGCCACTTGCTTGACTTTGGCCCGGATAATGGAGGCATGTGGTCCTATGAAAGACTATTAAACATTTACCAGAGTGCACAGCATCACAGCCCATAAGATAGTATGTTTCATAACTGAAGATTGCACACACAAGCTATCCACTAAGCTAGTTCTTTTAACTGTAAATTATAAAGCCACATTTCCTGCAGCTGATAAAGGATTATCAAAATAACTTATTAATTAACCAACATAATGCTCTTCTGTGCCCAGAGTCTACCAGGAATTCCATGTTTAAAATGCATGAATTCTTCCTTCTGTTTCTTAATATGTTAATTATTTCAGTACTTTATTGCACTAAAATTACCATTTTTATTAGGTGATTTGGTTTTCATTCATAGGCTGTCTGCATGGAAACAAAATATACTCAGTCACAGGTAAGTTTGGATTTCAGTTTTTGAGTTAGATGAAATAAGCTGTGTATAAATTCTGTATTTCAGGTATACTGAAGCATGCAAGACTGAGGAAAGAAGCTTTAAATGTGTTATATTTGTTAGGAAAAAAATTGAAAGGTAAGTAACTGGAATGTCACAATAACACTTATGAGTACCTAAGAGTGTATGCTTCTGTGCCCCCCTCCCAATTATGAGTTTTATGCTTTTATTTTTACTGAAATATAAGGGGTTCATTTCATATTTATGCATGACGAAAAGCAAACATGACTCGTTGATTTCATAGAAAATTATAAATGTGTCTACTGTGAAGTTTTTAAACTGACATGTTTAGAGTATTGTTTCAGAATAAAAATGTTTTAACAGCAGTAGCTGTTTGATCTTCATTACTATACCAGTACGCTTGCATATGGTTTATGAGTTTTATGTTTCTGGAGTCATGGCTCTACATTTTAACTTTTTGTATTCGTGCGACATACCTCATAGTAAATCCATTGAACCAGAGAGAAGAATATTTGAATTAGAAGTGTCTTCATTTTGATACTGTTATGTATAGAGTAAGGTGTACTGTTGTTCGTTCATTCATTTTATTTATTTTCCATAGATCCGTACAGTATATAACCAGGATGTGGAAATGGTCCTTAAAATACATATCAAAATAATCTTCAAAATACATATACAAAATTGTATGAGTCCATTATTTGCAACAGTAGATTAACATCAATTTTGCAGGTTGCAGATAGGCAAACTTATTACATCATAAATCACACATGATAATAATAATAATAATAATAATAATAATAATTCAATTCAATTCAATTCTTTATTATTAATGTGCCGAGTCAACAGCCGCAAGGCCAATTACAGACACAGCACAGTGCAGATGAATGAATTACATTATAGTCAAACTTATTAAAAGTCACATACAAATTACAAGTAAGTACTTAGAAGAAATAATAATGAATAAAAGTAAAAGTAAACAAACAAATAGCTGATATGGAATGAAACATAAATATTTAATAAAAATACTAACAGTTATACTGTATTTAAAATTTGTTTGGGTAGAACATTCCTGGCTCCGAATACGTCAACATCCCTGCAGACAACATTAGCAGCTGCTGCGCATCTAGCAGAGGGACAATTTTTAAATAAGGAGCAAACATTGAACAATGCAAAATCTCTGATATACCGAGCAGGAACTCGGAGACCAACAATTTCCAGGGCAGAAGGGCAGAATTTAGAGCCAAAATAAACTTGAATAAGAAAGAGAGCATCAAGGCGATGTCTCCTAGTACATAAAGTATGTAATTTTAACTCCTCAAGAGCAAGAGAATAATTGTAGTGAACTTTAGGAAAGAAACGTTTAAAACAAAGGGCCGCAAACCTCTGCTGGATGCGTTCCAGCTTGTTGGCATCAGTTGACGTAATCGAATTCCAGACTACGGACGCATATTCAAGTTTAGACCTAACTAACGTAGTGTACAAACTGAACATACAGTCTAGCGAAGAGAAATTGTAGGTAATGTTATGAACTAGACCCAATAGTTTCGCACATTGAGAGAAAATGTAATTGACCTGGTCATGGAAATATAGCTTAGCATCAATAAACACTCCCAGGTCTTTTACAGAATCAGTCCGGGCTATTGACGTTTGAAAAAGTTTATAATCATAGATAAGTAAGTTGGTTTTCCTGGTGAAGGATATAACTTTAGTTTTACTGATGTTGAGTTTCATACAGTTTGCAGTGCACCAACCTAGTATAGAATTAACGTCAGACTGTAGTAGATAGCAGTCATGAGGGGAACTAATGGCTCGGTAAATTTTGATGTCATCAGCAAAAAGCAGACACTTAGAATGGGCAACTGCATCACACATGTCATAATAATAATAATAATAATAACAACAACAACAGCAACATCAACAATAAATAAAATTTAATTAAAACATGAATTAAATAACTTAATGTAAAAACATAGTCACAATTTCATATAATCACTTAAATTACCAATTAGATGTCTTATGACCTCACACATTTATAACCAGTTCTATGTTAAATATTCATACAAGTTAGAGAGGTGTAACAGCCTCTTCAGTACATGTTTAAAATTGTACCATCAGCAGCCATCTTTGTTATGAGTATCAATTAACCTTTAAGTGCCGAAGTGCCCCATTTTGGCCAGTTGGGCATTTAAACTCCACTAGTGGAAGCACGTGCACACACCGCTAGTTAGTATCTCAGCCACGATGCTACTGTCTGTTCACAACCACAGAAAGGGCAATAATCTCTTGCAGCTATAATGAAAGGTCTTAGCACTGAAGAAGGGTCCCCTCTAGCTTTCTCTTGAATAGCCATTCTTTCATTCTTCTGTCCCTAAGTCAAAAGATTCGAAAATCGGAAGAGTGTAAGAGCAGTGTTAGCTGAAGACCGAATGATTTTATTGTTTCCATCTGTTTTATGGCACCAGGGACTGCTAAAATTTGTCAAGTGTTACAAACAAATGAATTTATAATGCAGAACATCTCTGTGAATAACTGGGAAACCACGTTTGCAGTACGCATCAAAATTAAAAAAAAAAATAAAATGAAAATAGAGTGTAATTCTTTGTATAAAAATTTTCAAAACTTCCGTTATAATATGCGACACCATGTTCTTTGCTAATACAAACAAAATTATTTCCATCCATTTATCATAAAAATTGAGTTAGATACAGCATTTTTAAACACAATGCTTAAAATTGTTTAAGCACCCTAACAGGAACGGACATTTAAACACAGAGTAGCAACAGGCATATAAACGCGCACCAGCAGCCAGCATTTTTAAATAAACTCTGGCCAGCTCAAGCTTACCGCCTTTTCAAAAGCCCGGCGTTTAAAGGTTAATGACAAACAGATCTGGGTTATTAAAATTTGATTCTAAATTTGTAGATCACATTAGTAAGATTAAATAAAATATGAGCCATAATAATTTTAGATAGGACAACTGGATATATAAATTGAAAATATATTACAAATAATTACTGATAATTACTGAGCTAGCTCTGTTATAATTTACATATTATGACCAGTTATGCTGATAATATTCCTTCATATGCATATATGAACTAAGAATATATTACAAATAATTACTATTATAATTTACATAGNTATAGCATTACCACTTATGCTGATAGTATTCCTTCATAGAGTAAAAAGAGTGATAAAATAAAAATCTCTTCAGTGCTGCTTTAAAGTTTAACAGATCAGAAGCCAACATTTTTAGTGCTTCAGGTAGATGATTAAAAGCTTTAATGCTTGCTACATACACACCTTTCTTGTATTTTGATAGGTTGACAGTAGGTAAGTAAAGATTATTTAGAGATCAAGTTTTATAGTTGTGACTCTCATTAACAGAATTGAAAAGATGTTTATTATTGATTGTAAATAAAATTAATGAATATATGAACTGAGAATAAAATGTCATTATCTCCAGGTTCCTACAAGACTCACTTGGACCAGAATTTGTAATAATTCTAATAGCCCTCTTTTGCAGCATAAAAACATTGTGCCATTGTTAGCGCAGGAAGAGCTTCCCCCCAAAATTATACCATAGCTCAAGATAGAATGAATGTGGGCAAAATAAATTAACTTTAATGTATCTAGAGGGATATAATATTTTATATTTCTCAATGCATAACATGCATTGGAAATTTTATTGATAAGATAATACACTGTTTCCATGTGAGAGTATCGTCAATGATTAAGTCTAAAAATTTTGTATCCATCAAATTGATTAAATTAGTCTGATCATAAGTAATTTGTGTGGTAATATTATAATGATTCACGGAACAAAATTCAACATATTGAGATTTATTAAAATTCAAAGTGAGCAAATAACATTAAACCATGAATTAATATCTTTAAAAGTATTAATTAAGGTTCATATCAAAGCCTAATTTGTTCATGCTAGTTACTATTACAGCGTTCAGTATATAATGCCTCCTATTTTTTTTAAAGAAAACTACAACAGATACAGAAAGCATAGTAATGCAGTTAAATAGATCAAGATTTCAGCTACTTACAGTTATTTTTCCACATAATCACCACCAATCGTTATGCACTTTTGCCAGCGATTAACAAGAGCCTGTATGCCGTGCCCATAAAAGTCTGCGCCAGCAGAGGCTAGCCACTTTCTTACAGCTGCAATGACAGCATAATTGTCTGGAAAGTGTTGCCCACGTAGTCCATCTTTCTTAAGCCCAAAGAGATGGAAGTCTGAAGGTGCTAAACCGGGGCTATAAGTTGTATGTTAGGACAGTCCAGCCAAACTTTGCGATGTGCACGGTGGTCGCCAAACTTGTATGGGGTCTAGCATTATCATTTTGCAAGCAAAAGGTTGTCTGCTTCTTTGGCCTGACTCGGGAAATGCGGGCTTTCAGCTTAGTCAGCGTCGTTTTGTAGCGTTCAGAATTGACAGTCCCTGGCCGTTATCTGCTGATCTATGTGGATAAGGCGCTGTTCATTGTGAGGCGTGGCAGCTGAGCAGGGATGCCCAGGGCGTGGCTTGTCATGCACTTCACTTTCACCGCTGTTGAAACGCACTACCCACCACCTCACTGTGCTGACTTCCACTGTATTGTCTCCGTACACCTTTAGCAAGTGTCGATGGATGTCAGTGGGTACAATTTGTTCGGCAGTGAGAAATTCAATAACGCATCTGTGTTTCATATGCACTTGTATGTCAGACACCATTTTGTTAGACTGCTCTGCTGTCGCTATCTGTCGCACGACAACCAAACTAACAGTAGATTGGCGGGAAGGTTCAACCTTTACTACAACACCAGCAACATCCATCTCAGACCTTACATATTAACACAAAAAAACAGGAGGCATTATTTATGGAATGCCCCTAGTATAATACTGGTGTCATCTGCAAATAATACCATGCTATTCTTTTTATTAATTATTTTTGGTAAGTCATTTATATAAAAGAGAAAACACAGTGGGCCAAGGATTGAGCCTTGAGGAACACCGCATCTGATTAATTCCAAATCAGAAGAGTTGCTACAATCAATTCTGTCCCCTGTTACAACTCTTCGATATCTACCTGACAAGTAAGATTCGATGAGTGATTTAAATTTCCCATCTATTCCATAGAATATTCATTTTTCCACTAATGTTTTGTGATTAACACAATCAAATGCTTTCTGTAAATCACAGAAAATGCCTCCCACCAATAGTTTGTTATTCATCACAGATAAGTTGCTATCAATCAATGAAAAAGCTGCTTTCTCAGTCAAAGAATGTGATTTAAAACCATACTGTTCTTGAACCAATAAATCTTTTTATATGTGTAATAAGTCTAGCATGCATAAGTTTTTCAATTATCTTAGAAAAAGAAGTTAGCATGGATATAGGCCTATAGTTAGATACATCATGAGTTTTCCCTTTTTTAAATAGTGGTCTGACTATGGCAAATTTCAGTCTATCAGGGAAGACAACAGTGTTAAGTATTGCATTACAAATATGAGTAAATGGGGAAATTATAAATGGAAGGCTTAGATTTCATCGTATCCACTCAAATTTTTAGTCTTTAGTGTCTTAATAATTTTTGCGATTTCCTGAGTATTGTACTGCCATTTCATCTTGGCAAAAGGTCCAGTAAATTAATCTACTAAGTAATCGGTTGGCATAGATAGTTTCAGATTTTGATATATATTATTATTTGGAATAATAGAATCAGCTATAGATAAAAAGTACTTTTTGAAACATTTGCAATTTTATTCCGATTCCTTATTAATTTCTTATCTACAAATATATAATGAATACCTTTATCCTTTTTTTATATCCCTTTCTCCTCATTTATTATTTCCCAAATACTTTTCATTTTATTATTGGAATTGAAAATAATTTTATTATAATATGATTTCTTTGCTGCTATGATCACTCTTGATAATACTTCACTGTAAGTTCTCAGTTTATGGATGACAAGTGATGCTTTATGATGATTGTTAACAGCTGATTTTTATGTACAGTGTAAGTGCTTAGATTGAACATTTGCATGTAATTGAGGTTATCCATTTTAATGGTTCAGTTTTTGGCTGTGGCACAACAAAAAGTTGCAAAAAATGCCTTTTAATTTCACCATTTCTGTCCAGCTGCATGTTACAGTGTGAGAACCAGTGAATGGATTTGCATGAAATTTTATAATGTAGAATTCTACAGTACATCAGTATATTCTAATTTTGGTTAAATATGGACAGCATTAATGGACACTTTCCATGAAGATTTACATTTCTGTCCTACCTCAGATATGGCATTTATGTAGCTTGGTACTTACTGGAGCAATCGTGTTCCATACAGAAACTGTGGACAGAAGTGAAACACGTCTTTTATGCCCAGTTCACTTCTCCCATAAGTGTTAACTGTTTTCACGATAATTAAAGAAATGTATTTTTATGCTGTGTCATTTCATAATTGGAGAAGCAGAGTACTGATTTTGATATTGCTAGTTGGCCTGTTTGTTTTACTCTATTTATAAGAATAACGACAAAACCTGGCATTCACAAATTGAAAATGTAACAGGTAGAAATAGAAGGAATATTCCAGAATTGTTGCATTAGGCATACATTTCATAATTTGTTTAGAGTGTACAGTAAATGTACCTGTTAAGCACATGTATTATAAATCGTGCTATGGTCATCAGATCTGGAGATTTTTTATATACAGATTCCTTCATTTGTCTGAACTGTATGTGGTGCTGATTTGAAGTTGATGGTTATCAGGTATATAGAAGAGACTAATAATTGTATGGCATCCAGAAAGTACAGTATTATTTTCTTTTTATGAATGAACATCGATGCCAGAAAGACAACAATACAGGTGCCAGGTACATTTTTGCTGGAAAAGCGTTTTGTTAACCTATTGCAAGCAATTTGGAAAAGTTGTAGTGGAACTGTAGAACTGTACTAGAGAATTTTACCACGACAAATAATAAATATTTATATCTTAAAGTTTTCCGTGAAAGGTGTCATTTTATGTCTGAGGTTTAGTCATGTGGTAAGCACTTTATATATTAGTTTTGAACTTCATTCTGTTACATAATTTAGTAGAGGTTATATGACCATTTTAATTAGGAGCATAGCAAACAGTCTCTACTAAGGTAGTACCTTCTAAGTTTAAGTGTTCTTTATGCAAAGTGAAACATTTCACATCAGTACTATGTCTGCCTGGCAGATGTGTAATGTTCTGACAACTTTGTTGGATTTGGAGAAAATTATATGACAACCATGATCATGATTTTAATGTAGTATGAATTTTGGCATTACTGACTACCAAGGACTGTTGCTTTTAAACTTTTATGCCTATCACAGATTGAAGAATATTTCAGACACTGTCGGACCTGTTAACGTAATTAAAGAAGGAGTGAATTTTTGGATGTAAATTTTAGAAGCTGTATATGCTCCTTCATAGAGTCATCTTCTGCTTTCATCTTGCTTTCTGCCATAAAAAAATTTCCTTCCCCAACTTGGAAATTACAATGAATGTGTCAAATGTAAGTGTGCAAACTTTGTTTAAAGATCAGCCAGTAAGTTTTTTATGTAGATTATGAGACATTGTATTGCTTCATATAGTTATTCTTTTACTTTCAGATTTGAATTGCACAGCGGAATTATGCAACTTGTCAGTGACATTTGGACCATCATTGGAAGAGTGTAGTAAAGATAATACCCCAGAAATCAAATCTAGAGTCATTGATATCAAGAATTTATTAAAAGCATGAGCTTGAAGTCTTACTGGTTAATGAACTCTTTGTATACATACATTTTATGAATATGGAACTGTGGGACCATTTGTATTTAAAATAGTTGCCAAATATGTGGACTGTTAATTAATTTAATATTGTTTTTAAAGAACAGCAATGCATTTTCGGTTTGTGATAGGCATTATTCCATTCTTATGTCTATGGTAAACACTTGCCTGTTGGAAGAAATAAAGCTGGAGAAACAGATTGTCACTAGTGTTGAGAGCTAATTTATTGCAGCCTTGATTCTTAAATGAATGTTACATGTTATGAAGCGGCCCAGAACTGAAAGAGACACTCTGTTTACTAAGAAAGATGCAGAACATAATGCTCATATAGGTGCACTATACTTAGCATTGTGTGTTAAGAAAATTTGTTAAGCTTTTCACGAGATATGTAACTGCTTTTCAGTAATATTGGTGGCTTGGTATTATCAGTAAATTGACCTCCATATAGCAAACTTCTGCACTGAAACTCAGCTGCAGATGTCAAAACCAAAATTTTGTAGTTACATTTCTTGCACGTAACTATTAAATTGCCTTGAAACAGTCATGAAAGCATTTTCTTGCCTGAATGAAGATAGGGGTGATCTTACATTGTTCATCCTATCCATTTCACATGAGAGTTTTTGAAAGGAATATTTTTCATGTTGAAATCTCTAATGTAATGGGTACTGGTGGCTCTTTCCACAGGGGTAAGGTGCAGAGGCCTGAAGTTGATTGCTCACATTCATCCAGTGCTGGAGTTAATAAGGGTAGAACCACACCTTCACTCCTCTATGTCTTCATGGCATGATGCTTAATTAATTAAGCACAGGGAGAGGCTGTTGTCTGTACTGAACCTTATTTCAGTGGAACTCAGGAGTTTGTTGTATGGAGGTGTTCTGCGCAGAAGAGTCTGTTACATAGAGACTTCATAACAATTAGTTCATAATAAATGCAGTGAAAGCAGAGCTGTTGAAACCTCTCTATGTTATATGCAATGTCTGTATAGAAGACTGCAGGTAATGGATTTCAGAGCTCCACATTGGACAGTCGGTAGTGTAAAGCTTTAAGTACACGAAAAGAATGTTTTGTGTAATGTATGTATTATAAGCAGACTCACAGCATTTTGACTTCTGTGCTTATCCTTCATTTCTCTCAGTATGATTATACTGAGTTCGTGTTTTTATAGGCCCCACAGTGGCATATTATATGAATGGCCATAGATACTGTACAGCTGTACCTCTCTGTTCAGAAGGAATATGTTGTTCACAAGATGATTATAAAAATGCAAAAATTTGCAGATCAGGTCATGGAGTTTGATAATATATGCGGATATTCTCTTTTGACGCATTTGGATTACTGTGTTTTTCTTTAATCTTTCACAGCTTTTGCTCTTCCACTTACATTGCTAACATTTTTACAGTAGATCCAGTATAATTTACAATATTTCACTGCTCTTGGTGTGGTTTAATTCTTGTACACAGATGTAAAATGCCCAGGGTAATGCTGGGAGACAGCACACATATATGTCAGAAACAATATACTTTACAATCACATCACTGCGAATAATCTGTAAGGTAAAGTTAGATGATAAAACAGCCAAAACATGGTGGAACTGGCAAAGGTGAGTGCAACTGAAAGGTAATTTAAGAAAACGCAAGCCAAATATAAGTTTGGAAACCAGACATTCTACAACATTTTCATTGAATTTGGTATGCATATGAAACATTTGGTGTAAAAAGATACTGTAATAATACAATTTTTACAATTCATTCATTCATTATTCCAACGGAAATTGTCTTAAATACAGTTTAATTCAACACTTAACTGCATATCACTAAGCAGTTAAAATGCTCACCACAACAAGTTCTCTTTCCTTTTCTATATGTAAACCACAAAATGTACTTATTATCCACACTTAATGGATAGATTGTATAATTATTGGAGTTAAAAAAAAATACAGTTCATAATTGCCATTTTAGGGTGGTTTCCAAATTGTTCAAGACACAGGATTTTTTAAAGCTATGGTAGAGATGAGATTTGAAGTTCTCACAGCAATGAGTAGTAGGGCTACCATCTTCTGGTTGTGATGCTGATTGGTATGTAGTGTCATGTGTCAAGGAATTGTGAAAAATAACAACAGATTCTGGATTGGATTTATTGGCATTGAGATTACAACCAATTATTATAACAGCTCACACTCAATGGCTGCCTAAGACTCACTCCATTCCTTACTGGACTATGAGTGTTTTCTCTTCTACTGTGACTGACTTGGTTCTTATTTATGGATTGGTCACCTCTTCAACTTCCGCTGTCCACTGGTTAACACTCCACAGCTGAATGCTCAACTCCTGAATTCTCCTGAACTGAACTAACTGAACTCTGAACTCTCTTACAAATGAAATCTCCTGTTACAACTTTGAGGTGAACCGAATATAGATTGCCTCAAACAGTTCCTCTATTATTATGTCTATTTGTTGTCATAGATATGCACTTTTTGGTGAGCCATTCTGTAGCAATGAACTGTTTCAGAGGAACACTTATCTTCTGGAATATAAAGCCATGTAGTCCATTGAAAGTCGGTTATTTCATAGGAGACATCTAAAAAAATTTGCTTAGTGAGGGGTGGAGTCCAACTGGGTCCACTTGGCACGGCAGCCACTGATTGGCCTATTGTAGCCTGCCTCGGGTGATTATGATGATGGAGAATTTGGTGAAATAAGATTGGCAGGGGAAACAAAGTACTTGGAGAAAACCTGCCCCAGCGCCACTTTGTCCAGTACAAATCCCACTTGACCAGACCAGGGATCGAACCCAGGCTGCCGTGGTGGGAAGCCAGTGACTACCCACTTGAGCTATGGCGCAGCCTAGGGGAAATCTGTCTTCTGAGATACACTACCATAGTCAATAAGTTCGTGGACTGGCCGCAAAACGTTTGTTGCAGTGCACTACAGCAGATAAGTTGAGGCACTATATGATGCCCTGTCAGTTCATCTCTCATCACAGCAAGAAGCAGTTGTGTGCAAACAGTATAAGCAGAACTACTGCAGTTAAATACAAGTAGCGGAAATCGAAAATGTGGCAGTTTGAACAATGGGCAAACATCAAGTTCTGCCAAAAACTAGGCAAATCCCCTAGCGAAATGTTTGACACGAGAAGAATTGGCTGTTGCTACACGACAACGGCCCTGCACATCGCTCTGTTCTTGTCCAAGAGGAACTGGCAAGGCAACAGGCCAGTTTTGCCACACCCTCCATACTCACCTGATCTCGCACCATGCAATTTCTTTCTCTTTCACCGCTTGAAAGCAAAGCTACATGGTTGTAGATTTCAGTTGTCCGAGGAGGTCATCAATGCCACAAGAGATGCCGTACGGGAATTTCCTGCCAATATGTTCAGCAATGTTTTCGGCAGCTATATCAACGTTGGCAGACTTGTATAGTGGCCAACAGCAACTATTTTGAGGGCTGATGTGGATCTGTGTAAGTGTATGTGAATACCTTGTAATATGATGTGATTAAACCACAGCCCACGAACTTAATGACTGTACCACATAATGCCGTGTAGTCTGTTGACACTCAACCGATGTTTTGGAAGAACATCAGTCAAATATCAATGAACTACATGGCATTATATCCCAGATGATATGCTTCTTCCTACCCACCGCATTGCGTTACTACAACCGCAGTACAGAATGTGGCACCAGTCCCGTAAAATATGAATACCTCAACGTTCTCAGAACCTGTCAGAACATTTGTAATGTTATATGATAGCAGCAACAGTTCTCAATAGACCTAACACTGGAAATTATAATGGTATGTATTTCTTTCCCTATGTCTTCATCCTTTTTATCTCTTTAATAATTTATCCCTTGTTATTGTAGTAGTGTTTTCCTCCCTTGTAAAATTACAAGGCTTACATGTGTACAAAATATATTCTGTTAATACATAAATTTAATAAGGAACAATTATTCATACATGAAAAGTATGCTAATAAAGAGAACATACTTTTCAAACTAGCACAAAGTAAAAGATAAACAACAACAGTGGAGGGCTACAGGATATTACAAACTGTACAAGTGGCAGTGGTTACAAACTACAATATGAGTAGCAATGAATAGGGCTGAGAAGCTGAAATTGTTTGGTGTCATAAGTATAGATGATTGACAGATAAAATGTCAATACTTCCAGGGTACTGTTTCACAAACAACAAATTTTTCTGTGGGAAAAACATTCTGGATAGTTCCAGTGTACTCATTTAAATGTCAGTAAATTTTTGTATCACTGCGGTGAAGGTTATTTTGTTGTTGTGATTAATGTAATTTTATATGTTAATTTATTACGTAGCATATGCACAGAATTTGGTATATGTTGAGATATGTAATTGAAATTTATTAGATTCTGTTATCGAGAAAATCAAATTTTTTCATGTGCTGTATGAAAGAAACTGTTTTAGTATTTTATGCAAAATGTGCTCAACATGAGAGTTTCACAACCATTTTAAATGCACCATTGTCTTTATATGTTACTGTTATAAAGTTTCCTCTTTCAGATTTTAAGCTTTCCTTTCTCTGCAAACTTAAAGACATGAAGCTGCAACAATTCTATGAAAGACCCACTTTTGAAAATAAAGTTACTCATGAGTTGACATGGTGCATCTGTTATAGCCACTTGTTGTATTGTCATTCCTCCTACTCAGTTCTGACTTTGCAAGCAGAAAGTAGTCGAAGAGTCTGTTTCCTTGAACTGACAACATGCAACTGTAGATGTTCATATAAAAGCAAAGATAACGTGATGGGATAAAGTGGATTGCATTTTGATATGCTGTACAAGTGCAATGGTATATGTAAAACTGGAATGACACAAGGTTTGTAAATTATGTGATTGTTTGCAGTAGTTTAATGGCTCGGGAAGTCTTGTTTCCTTGCATTCTGCCAACAGTTTAGATCCAGTTGGTTTTGATATTTAAGAAGTTTATTCACAATGGGTTCCCTTCTCTTCCCCACCTTCTTTTTTTATTTTCTTTCATCTTCCTTTTTACTTTTCTATCATCTTTTTCTTGCAATTGTCTTCCTTTTTCTTTCAGTTATTTTTTCCTCAAATTTTCTTGGAAGGAGGCAATGTCCTCCCCTCGAATCTATCCAAGACAGACCTTTGAAGAAACTTGTTACAAATAAAGTCAGCATGGGTCAACAAGTGAATTCAGGTTACATGATGAAGCTTATATGTTTATTCCACTAATTCTGTTATAGTATATAATGATGGTGATTTACTGGGATTGTCGAGTCCTGAAATTTATTCAGTGGTATCCCTGAGTAAGGGTTCTCTTACTGTCTCATAAAAACGGACCCGTGAAGATCTCCAGCGTTTTATACAGCAGTATGAGATAAAGATGAGCATTATTGTTGCAACAATGCCTGCAACTATGTAGCCTGCCAGATAATATTTTTTACTGTCGTTGCTATCAGATGGTATTTCTGTGGAGTCTTTTTCTTGTGGAATGTTCTGAAGCCCATCCTTGTGGCTCACATTACTGCATTTTATCTGGAAGAACATTGGTATACTGCAGTGAGCATAATGCTGACATTTCCTATTATAATTAAGTAATTCATATTGGGGTTGCATCTGACAGAGTCATATAAGGGGCAGTCAAATGAAAACAGGTCACCACGCATAACTCACACAGCGCGCAAGTTGGTAACACTGGAATTTGCTTATGGTACGAACATCTGGTGGGGACTCAGGAAAGCACAGTGATAATGTGCCCTTGCACACTAGTCATTTGTTTATTGTGCTGGAAGTAAGGTTAGTGCTATGTGTGGTCGTCCGACATCAGTAATGGAGGAGGTAAAAGAAGAACAGTGAAGTGTAGTGCGCTTTTTGACTGCTGAAGGAGAAGGACAAGAAATTACGGCGAACACAGCATGTCATGTTTGCGTGTGCTGGCGTGGCATAAGAGATTCCAAGAGGTACATGTGTCACTGCAAGATGATGCTCGTCCAGGACAAGTTCGTGTTTTTTTTTTCTTTTATTGCTAGTGAGGTGGGACTAAGTCCCTTGTACTGCAGCAACTTCTGGCCTATTGTACCAGCCCCAGATGATAGGCGAGGGTGATTGTGGAGCAGTTGGTGTAATGAAGATTGGCAGGGGAAACCAAAGTACTTGGAGAAAACCTGCCCCACCGCCACTTTGTCTACCACAAATCCCACTTGACCAGACCCGGAATCGAACCCGGGCTGCTGCAGTGGGAAGCCAGCGACTAACCGCTTGAGCTGTGGCACAGCTCAGCTCATCGTGTTATCACTCCTGATGTTACTTCTGTGTTGGATGGTCATATCTGGGCAAGCCGACAGATCATTGTGGAAGAAATTAATCTTTCGATGGGAATAAGTCACGGTTCCATACATGCCATTGTGACAAAACATCTGCTGTACCACAAAATCTGCGTGCAGTGGGTTCCACATCAACTCATGGAGGAACAGAAGACTCAGAGAATGGCTGTGTCACTGGGTCACTTGCAATGGTACCATGAGGAAGAGTATGCTTTTCTATCCCATATTGCCGCTGGGGACAAAACTTGGTGCCCCCATTTTGAACCCCAGAGCAAACGGCAGAGTCAACAGTGGAAACACGTGAATTCTCCCCCACCGAAGAAATCCAAAGCTGTATGCACAAGTTCTGGTAAAGTGATGATGACATTCTTTTTCGACTGCAAGGGCCCTCTGCTTGTCAAATTTCTTGATCGTGGGGCCACAATCAGTCCACAGTGCTATGAAGACACTTTGCAGAAACTGAGATGTGCCATAAAGTCAAAACGCCCTGGAATGTTACCGAACGGCATTAACCTTCTTCATGATAATGCACGCCCCCACACTGCCAACTCTGTGAGGAATACAGTACAGAGATTTGGTTGGGAAGTGCTTCAACATCCCCCCTACAGCCCAGATCTCTCCCCATGTGATTTTCACATTTTTGGAGACCTGAAGAGAGACATTCTTGGACACTGGTTTGCATCAGACGAAGACGTGTGTGGCTGGGTAAAGATGTGATTCTGTAGACAGCCCACAAGATTTTTCAAGGATGGGATTTACTATCTTATCTCCCAGTGGGATAAATGTATTAACAGTTTTGGAGATTACTTTTGAGGTAAGAAATGTTCTTTACTATATTTTGGCTTCTGACTCGTTTTCATTTGACTGCCCCTCATACATAACACAGTGTTATATTTTACACATTCCATAATAGATTTCATGCTTAATTCTTTGCAGTGAAACATCGATATACAGGGCTACTATAAATGATTCATTCGTTTTTAAAAATGCTATATTTTCCAAAGTGCAAATATGATTGATATATAAAAAGAACCGTAAACTCACCAAGTTTGTATTGTGTGCACCAGTTGGCAGCACGAGTTCAGTGCCTTTACAAAATGGCGACAAAGCAAGAAAAGAATTTTTGTTTGTTGGAATATGCGAGATGTTCGTCTGTTATAGCAATGCAACGCGCATTCAAAAGAGAGTACGGAAAAGAACTGCATGTAAACAAAGCATTTTGCGGTGGTATCGGCAATGTTCGTCGCTACGTAAACAATGAACTTCGGCATCGCTGGATTGGGTGTGTTGGTGAGGATGACGTAGCTCTGTTCACTTGGCCCCCCAGATCACCTGACCTAACGCCTTGTGACTTCTTCCTTTGGGGGTACATTAAGGATCATATTTATGTACCCCCACTAGTAGAGCTGATGGAACGCATCGATGCTGCAGTGTGACCATTGACAGGATGATGCTACAAAATGTGTGGAACGAGCTCGACTACCGCCTGGACGTGTGTCGTGTGACCCAAGGGGCACACAGAACATTTGTAGAGTGTGAAGAAAAGTTTGTGAATTTACGGTTCTTTTTATATATCAGTCATATTTGTACATATAATGATTTGGAAAATATCTCGTTTTAAAAATGAATGAATCATTTATAATAGCCCTGTATAATAGACATGGTGATTGTTTCCGTGGACAAATGTCACTGTATCATCGACAAAGTATTTCGTTTTTCTACGTTCATATTTTGATCATATGTCACTAGTTGGCACTGAAGACTACACCAATGCTTGCATGAATGTTTTGTCTACCTCTCTCTGGAATTCATAATTTGAACTTGAAGAACGAATTCCATTTATATATTATGGGGTGTCACGTGCTAGTAGCATGCCTTTACGTTCGGCCGAGCCATGACCCTCTCAATTGAAGAAACTAGATTGTGGGATGCAGATGAAGAATCTAGTAGTGATATGTTAAGTGAAGAACTCAATATTGACTATGATGATGAGATTAATTTGAAAATTGAAGGAGAAACTGCAAGTGAAGAATCGAACAACGAAATGTTGGAAAGTTTGAACGAGAGCAAGAGCAAAACAAGTATTGCTGCGTGTTGGCGGGTGCGAAGATGTGACATTGGGCGATCATGCATGTGGGAGTAAGAATTTTCTATTCTCCAAATTGTTCAGACTGACTCTGGGGTCCACCCAACCTCCTATCCAGTGGGTACCGGGGGCTCTTTCCCCCGGTGTAAAGCGGTAGGTGCGTGTAGCTGACCACTCACCTCCAACTCATGCTGAGGTCAAGAAAATGTGGATCTGTACATCCACTCACCCATACATCTTCATGGCGTAGTGCTTAATTAGTTAAGCAGAAGGACAAATTTACCTTTACTCAGCAATAAGTTCTATTATTGTATCTGCAGTATTGTACTTATTGGCACACGTGCTGCCCTCTCTCTCCAGCTCACACCATTTTAGAAAAGATACATACTACAGCTCGTCAAGAGCTCTGAGGTAGACATTTACAATTTTTTTTAACATAACCCCTTCTTACCATCATAACACTACCAATGACACATCCAGCAAACTCTTTCATGTTGCTTGCAGCATTTTTCCCACAAGGGCGAACTGTTACATTGTAGTAGCAATCATCGAGGGTCTGGTATGTACTGTGGAATAAATAGATTGGGTTTTACTGACACAGCTCTGTTGATTGTAATTACATTACAGTTATGTTAGTATAATCCTTTGTCCTAGGAATATTTAAGTATTAGTTGTTATAGATATGATTATTTTTTCATAGGCAGTTCCTGTCACTCAGACAAAACACATTGCTTGGCTGTAACACCATTGCAGGCATACTTGGAAAACAAAGTTATCAGTGCAGATTTTTTGGCATGCTAGTTTATTTTTGTTTGATTGTAATGCCAGAAGTTGGGGGTCGAACCTGGAATGATTTTGATATTAAAATTATATATTACTCACTAGACCACCAGCATTAGCATTACAAGATAATTTAAAAGATAATACAAAGTGTGTAGGATATTAATCTTATCAAGTCCATGATGTCAGTAAGTACTTCACACACTACACTTATAGCAGTCAGAAAGTTATTAGAACCTCGTCAAATTTGGGTGGGGGGAATAAAATAAAATGTTATGTATAACTAAATCCTTGTGAATAACAAATTATTGCTGTAAGAATACTAAAGCAGAGTTTGATCATTAAGTGATCATTCTGTGAAGTGTTATAATATATAGCCTGGTGCCTAAATCATGAGGCTGGGTTGTAGTTATGTCCATAGTATAAATAGGTTCTATCAAAAGCAGAAAGTTCATAGCCATATAGTTTAATGCAAATCCTGACTCCATCGAGTTTTACCTTGAAGTAAACTTCATTGTCATGCGTTTTGTGCTACAGTGAACTATGTTATAATGGGGCCCTTATGCGTGTATGATTGTTGTAATTTTGTTTATGCAGTTTGCTCTTCTCTTATAATGTGACATTTCTGACATGGACGTAGTTCACTAATTTTCTAAGAAGACAATGCCAGGTAGTCTTGTAGCATGCAATGCACTTACTTGCATACACATTTTTTCCTTGAGTTATCCATCCAGTCTTCTGGGCCAGCACAATTGTTATATTCTTCTTTAATGTCTCGGTAACAAGATGAATACTTCCTAAACTCTGCATGAATATAACAAGAACAATTGTAATCGTGTTTATTGTCAGACTGAGTTCAAAATGAGAAGTTTGAGGTTCTCACAATAGTGATTGAAGGTTAGTGCTTTCTGGGACATGATGCTGTATAGTCAGGCAGATATTTATAAATTTGTACGAGGAAGCTGCTACTTCCATCTTCAGGTTAAAAGAGACCATGTGTACCATGGAGATGGAAGGAGCAGGTTCCTCTAAAACTACCAGACTGTGTGGTATCATATCCCAGAAGACATCAGTCTCCTTAGTTAAATATGGTATGTATGAGGGTAAGTCAATAAGTAAGTTACAAATGGATATCGAACTTAAACAAAAAAGAGTACTAATTTGAAAAATGTTTTTATTTCTCAACATAATCTCCCTGTACATTGAGGCACTTGTCCCATCGTTTCACAAGCCCCTGAAAACCAGCAGCATAAAGTTCTTTGGGCTGCTGTTGGAACCAGGCGGTGACGTCCCTTCTACAGCTTCATCATTGGGAAAATGTTCAGCCGAAAGATGATGTTTAAGAGGGCCAAACAAATGGAAGTCACTTGGAGCAAGGTCAGAGCTATAAGGAGGATGCTTGAGGACGTCCCACTTGAAGTTTTGCAGCGTCTCATTTGTCTTGTTGGCAGTATGGGGACACATGTTGTCATGCAAGGGCAACACGCCTTTGGCGAGGAGTCCTGTTCGCTTCCGTTGAATGGCCTTACGAAGTTTCCTGAGGATGTTACAGTAGGAGCCGGCATTTATGGTTTGTCCTTAAGGCTGGAATGCGGTGAGCGGTATGCCTTCGTGTTCACAGTCACCGCCTGGTTCCGACAGCAGCCCAAAGAATTTTATGCTGCTGGTTTTCAGGGGCTTGTGAAACAATGGGACAAGTGCCTCAATGTACAGGGAGATTATGTTGAGAAATAAAAGCATTTTTCAAATCAGTACTCTTTTTTAAGTTCTATATCTATTTGTAACTTACTTATTGTCTTACCTACTATATTAATGTATGGGGCCTGCAGTAGTGTAGTTGGTGGAGGCACTATGCTACAAGCTGGAAGGTCACCGACTCAGCTTCTAACAGAAATGAGTACCAGGAATCTTCCTGGGGATATAGGGTGGCAACCTCACCGCCATCTGTGAGCCGGTTGTCTAGAAAATGTGGAGGCCTCAACATCTCACAACCCTATGGGCCTCCAGAGCCTGTTACAGGGATACCTTATCTTATATTAATGTATATTTTTATCATAAAATAGCATGTTTTCTTTTCTCTTTATCTGCTTTGAATGCCAAAAAAGTGATTTCCTTTGTTTCAGAATAAGGCAGACATTTTCATTCTTTACCATTTTTCTGCACAATGCATAATTCAGAGGTTTTAAATTATTTTCACACAAGTTCAAGCTAGAAGTAAATCAAACATTAAAACGAACCTTGAGGTTCTATAAAAATTGATTTTTTTTACACATAAGGAAATGTCTATTTTTAATTGACAATTCTGAGTAGTAAAGTTTTTAGTTATCATTATAACGACCATATGAGAAAAAATACATTAACTGCAAATAAGAATTTGAAAATTTCCATGTAAATAGTGATTTTACTGTAAGTACCTTTCCGAAAATCACGGTCCTTGCACAGTTTGCCATGAGTAGTTCTGATGCCAGTTATAAGTGACATATACGAGTCTTCTACATATGTAGGTTTGCATGTCTTAATGTACTTGTCCAAGGTCTTCAGGCTTTCAGATACTTTTCTGAGACAGAGAAGTTTTCATAAGAATATTTTGTTTTTTAACTTTCACCAGCTGGATTAGTGGCCCACTCCTTCAGTAACCATGGCTTGGATAAATGAAGTATTTAAATTCACAAAAAATATATACGTAAACATTTGACTTCAATTTCATTCCAATATAAAAATGTTATAATCAGATTTTACACACAGTTTTTGAAAAATAATAGAGGTCATGAAGGAAATGTCAGCAGTGCTCTCTCAGTACTATTTCAAAATTTTTATTTTTCATAGATCTATTGAAAACTATTCTTTTTTCATAGATTTAAATTTGAATTTCAACATGAATCTGGCTATATTAGTTACTCAGACACATGACCTTACACTCAGCCATTTATAAACCTAACCCTAAATCTGAGACATCCAAAAGTGGTGTTATATAACCGAGACTAGTAACTTTTTCAAATTTCCTCACCTGCAGACACATTTGACACCCTGCCGTGTTGCCAAGTTTACGATACTTTCAGGATTAAGTGCCTGAAGCTCAGTTAAGTGTGAGAGAAGTTGGTCTTCATTGCAGTAATCTAATCTTGAGGCTCTTTTGCTTCTTTCATTTTCCTTTCCATTCTGGTTATCCTGCTCAGAAGCCAGACTGGTACTCATTTGTTGTGTATTTAATCCTGCGCCTGTGGTTACGGACACTCTATCATATTCATGTTCTTTCGCTGGCAGTGCTACACTCATATGTGTGGACAAATAATTAACTTAAGTGTGTGCACGAAGTTGTGTATTAGAGCTTCACCAATCATAGGCAGTACACTATATATGACAAGCCCTAACTAACCACCATTGCTGAATGTGCCTAGAGCTTTCTTAACAATACATGAACTTTCTTCGATATACAACAACAGATAATATTGTCGATAAATAAATCATGAAACAACAATAAAAGAAAAACTCACATTAATCAGATATACAAAATATAGTGTGTAAAGTGTCAGTACTTAAAAAATCGGACATTTTAATGGCTCTAAACCGGGCGGGAAATGGGCATAGAGGCGGGAAGACGCCGCGTTGTTAACGAAACGATTTCTAGTGTCTCATACCTTGAATGTTAAAGAGGGCTGAACTTTCTGATAGAATATATTTATGAGCTAACAACAAGGAATGAATTCCTGAATCTGTATTGTAATCATGTCATTTATAAAAGAGTTGTTGGTTGTTCCTCCGGGATTTTCTTTTCATTTGGAATGCCTGTTCAGGTCTGAAAAGTCGTTTTCACCCCGGACTCAGATCATTAAATATTCAACCCCTTCCTCTTAATAGAGTTTCTGCGTTTCATTTGGACATCTGTTCCATGCGAGGATCTTAAACCTTTTTTCAGACTGACCTTGACGCCATATAGCCTGAAGCCTGATTGAGAAGTCCTATGCTGCCTGCCGGTGATGCAGAAAATATTAATCTTTTGTTGGTGTAAGAAGCAAGGTTTAATTGTCAGTTCAAGTTCTGTACAGTTAAAACTGGAACATTTGATGTCACCAACTATTTTCCGATAATTCAGTGAATTTAAATACTTGCATTAAGTATACATACCCTGAAGTAATACACAAAAATCTGAGGACCTAGCTTCCATTTGTAAGAGAATTTTTATGCTTTTTTATTTTAATCTGAGACAGGTTCGAGTTATGTTTAAATATTCGTTTCTTATACATTTAGTAATTCTGTAGCTTGTCAGATTGCTCTAGCCGCACCAATCGCCAAATCACACACACACTCTATTTTTGGTTGAAACTCTGCTCCGATTTTCAGTTTCATAATAATTTTACAGACGGTAGGACTCCTTGGACGAGTGATCAGCTCGTCGCAAGGCCTCTACCTAAACGCAAGACAACACAAACACAGAATAAGCAAACATGCCAAACATCCATGCTTTGTGTGGGATTCGAACCCACGATCCCGGCTTCCGAGCGAGCGAAGACAGTACATACCTTAGACCGCTTGGCTACCGGGACCGACCTCTCATACCAGCTTCCTGCATGGTTTACTTACAGATTCCAGACAACACGAACACCAAAATGAATGTGTTGTAAATCGTGTGCTTATTGCGTGGTGTCATATTGGGGCCGTTGTTGCTCCCTGTAAATTGACGCTGAATAAACACAAGTGTTAAATAAATTCAGATATGTCCGAAGTCACAGAATCCGCCTTTTATACTGAGCCCACTCAAAGGTCCCCTAACTCTTAAATACATCTATAAATCCCTGCTTAATTGGTCCGTTACTAGGCAACCATGGTACGTTGTTAGCGGTTTCTATTCTTGCAACAATAGTGTATACAACAATATAATTCCGCGTTGTACGTGAAGTTGGTTGCATGGAAACTGCTCTGGACACTTAATTTAATCATTATGCGTAGAAAATTAAAGACACGAAGAAACAGAGTTGGTTATTGGAACACACTGAGCCTCGTTTAGTGAAGGAGACTATGGTTTGTGAATTTTCTTTGTATTTATAAGATGCTGTATCCCCAGGAGTGTTCATTTCGTCATCCATGAGAAAGAAAAGGTAAAGAAAATACTGTTCTTCGTCCTCTTCCTCGTCCTTTGACATATTAGGCCCTCTGGCTAGTTCCCAATCAGAATTAATCTGAAATTATAGACCTTATGGACAGCACGTAGGGCTCCTTGGGAGGGTGATCAGCCCGTCACAAGGCGGTAGCCGCCTTATGATAACACAAACACAAAACAAACGCACACAGACATCCATGCCTCGATTGGGATTCGAATCCACGGCCTCAGTGTTCGAGCAGTTGAAGATATTTCGTTAAGTAGACCGCCCGGCAACTGTGACCGGCATTCGATTTCACAGAGATACCAAACATGGAGAAGTTCACAAACATCAGACGCTGTATCATTATACACGTGCCAGTGAGTTGCATCTTAGCTGAGTTTTGCTGTTCTTTGACACTGGAAACATGAAGCGGCTGTGAAAGCAGGAGTTAATTATGTACCAATCAGTGCAGGGCGCATGTACGTTAAGTTGTCGAGTAGACCGATGTGGTTACTTAGGGAGCTGTAAGTTTTGTGCAATTTGGGGTTCTCAGAGCGGTGACAACAAAGAACACTATATTTTGGGATGTGACTGCGAGCAGTCCTGTAGAAGGGTACAGATGTTTCGGGGTCAAAGGATAAGACGACCAAGCAAGCAGAGCATTTACTGACTATCTGATCGGTCATTCTTGTCTCCAGAGGCTCTCTGTTTCCTGACTGATTACTTTACTTTCTAAAGTAGGGGGTAGTGATACAGGAGGTCAAGAAGTTCCCTGAAGGTTCATGACAGTGTTCACAGACTTCAACATTGGAATCCAGTCAGTTGAATCTATTTCACGGATTCACACAATAATTCTGTAAAGTGTGTTTTAACATTGCCTCCTCCCATCTAAGTCCATTTTTTTTTTTAGATGTTGAGGTTTTCCGGTCATATTTCCGTATGAATTTGTACTTCTTCCATGTTTGCTATAGGTCTTGATTTATCTCATTAGCTTACTTCCCTTATTTAAAAAAAAAATAAAAATATGCTAACAGGATCGCTTTGCTATCTGTGTGTCTGTGTTCCCCATAACGTTGCTAGGTAGCGGCTCTATAAGCAGGTTTCCGGGCCATTGCTAAGCAATGGCTCATAATAAATCTTTCGAGTGGCAACGAATATACCCGCAACAAAATGATATATTGGACGCGATGTTTTCTGTGCGGTCCGTGTCGTATCAAATAGTCAATATGTAGTGGAATGGAAATAGGCGATTGGTTCTTCCCAGAACCTGTTATTTTTCACTTTTTAATCATCCAGACGGATTCAGGTGAAGAGAATGCGAATGCGAAGCATGTAAATGTGTAATTACCTCCAGTCTTTAGCTACTTCATCTTTCATAGGTCTAAATATATGTTCTTGCTTTTTTTCTCATAGGACTTGGATTTTCAATTGACCTAATCCTTCCAGCCGCACTATTACCCTGGGGATCGACTCAGCCCCCAACAGAAATGAGTACCCGTGAGTATTCCTGGGAGTAAACGGCGGCCGGCACGTAAGGCTGACGTCACTGCCATCTCTGAGCAGATTTTCTAGAAAGTGTGGGAGCCTCGACATCTCCTAATCCCATGGGTCTCCACGGCCTGTTACAGAGAGAGATTTACCTTCTGTATGACTTCCATCTTAATTCTTCCTTCAGGTCGACAGACCAATTTTTTACACTCGCACAAAACAAGGTGTTGAATTACACTTTCATCGTATTTAATCTTTGGAATTGAAAAATGAAGAAGGGGGGGGGAGAGAAACTGTGAACCTAATATCAGCATGAATTACAAGATTCTGAGCTTCATTTGTTTTTATCATAAACATAATATAAATCTGTTACTGTCGTCCCCAAGTAGATATTTCGAAATTTGCTGTACCCCTAAAGGATTTATTACTTTCTATTATATTGGAGCTTCATTTTCATCTTACAATTCCTAAATATTACTATGTGTAAAAAAATAAGAATTTTTAGGTAAAGGCGAAAGGTGAAGTTACACCTGGTCTTAATTAATTAACCACTATATCATGAGGACTTATGAGGAAATGGAATTATAGATCCACCATTCTTAACCTCAGCACTAGATGGAATTAATTAGCCAGCTTCACGCTCCTTCCGCTTTACCCTTGTGGTAAACGGAGCCCGGTATCCAGTGTGTAGCAGGCTGGGTGGGCTATAATGTCAGTTTGGATGTTAAAGAGAAGTTAAAAAAGTTAAAGCTATCCCTATAACAGGCCGTGGCGGCCCCTAGGGTTGTGAGACGTCAAGACTCCCACATTTTCTAGATGATCGGTTCACAGATGGCGACGAGTTTGTCAGCCTTACGCGCCGGCCGGTCTTTACCCCCAGGAAGATTCCTGGTATTCATTTCTGTTAGAGGCTGAGTCAACCCCAAGGCCATAGTGCGGCTGGAAGAATTAGGTCAATTGAAAAATGCAATGACCTCACTGGGAATTGAACCAAGGATCTGGTGACTTGTAGCATAGTGCCTTAATGAAGTACACTACCACGTGTCTCCGGATGTTATGGAGAAGAGAAAAATCAGTTCAATTCAAGCAGTAAGATAATCATGTGTCACGTGTTTGCACAAGATCAGATTTTCAGAATAACAAGAATGTCTTTCGTACAGGAACACGTGAAGTTTCAGCTATGATGAATATGCGTTTGATTATAAATTCTCTTCCACTCATCTGTCACAACAATCTGCTCGATACGATGTGACGTCGTATCTTTAACCAATTTTTTTTTCTTTTGGCGCTACAGCCCCAATTTGGGCCTAGGCCTACCTCCATGAAACTCTCCGTTTCACTTCGGTTTACTAGATCTTACACATACGGTAGGACTCCTTGGGCGAGTGATCAGCTCGTCGCAAGGCCTCTACCTGTACACAAACACAGAAAAACGCACACAAACATCCATGCCCTGAGTAGGATTCGAACCCACGATCCCGGCTTCCGAACGAGCGAAGACAGTGCATGCCTTAGACCGCTCGGCTACCGTGGCCGGCATCTTTAACCAATACGTTCATAATATCACACACATAACCTAAGTTAATGGAGAGTCAGTAATTAAGTATTGTTATGCACTGGGGTGCATTTGTTTTCTAAATCTTTTTTAA